GTCGTCACCAAATCTCCATGCTAAGTCGCGTCGTTAAGCTTCATCGTTAGCCATCTTGTAATCTAGTCTCGTTGCCAAGTCTTTTGTCGTTAAACTTCATCGTTAGGTCTTGTCACCAAGTTTCATTGCTAAGTCTTGTCATTAAGTTTCATCGTTAGGCCTTGTCACTAAGCACTGTTGCTAAGTCTTGTTACTTGTCATTAAGATTTCAATTAAGCTTCACTGAGACGTACTGTCAATGTTTCGTGTCGGCTTGCCCTGTCTTTCATCTAGGTCCTTGCTTCGTTATGTCGCATCACTAAGTCCCATAATTAAACGCTTTGTCATCAAGTTCCATTGTTAAGTCTTGCGACTAAATCTGATCATTGTTTCATCACTAAGTTCCGTAATCTTCACTGTTTTATTGGCTAGCGCGACGTGGCTTAAGCGGTCGCCATCATTCCGGTGTTTTTAGCCGCCGTCGCCGCCGACGACGCGACAGTTGATTTTAATTTCGTCTACAAACGCGTTTATTGCTGCTTGGCGTGAGGCGGGTTTAATGTACGAGCGTCTGCTAGGCTGTCGCTATGCTGCCCCGCCTGCAGCGGTCACTCGCCTCGCAGCGGCTGTAGGAAGGTTTATATAGAGGGAGGTGTCAACACAGGTTTGTTACGGTCGGCTGAGTCGGACCGAGGAAGTTTTTATAATTGTGGGTGTGGGTGGGTGGGGGCGATACAGGGCCGGTGATGTGTAGGACACTTGCTTTTTTATGGGCGATGAAACGGTTGGTGAGATTAGTGTCGTGAAGGTGGTGTTCTTGGTGGAGGTGATGGTGAAGGAGGTCGAAGGGAGGTTCTGGTGGAATGGAAGCGAGGTAACTGGAAGGGGAAGACTGGAGGTTGTGAAAGATCGTGTCACGACTACAAGCCGTACACGTGTTGTTGCACCTGGGTCAGTGAAAAAAATGCACGGGGGCTCGGGGCGATTTAGCCCCCGAAATGCCAAAAAGAGCCCCCGTAAATTTTCATAGAGTTCAATGGAAACCAAATTTTAGAGTGCTATTTTCATGCACGCGAGCTTGAAAAGTAGCCCCCGAAAAATAAATTATATTTTTTCCCTGACATGGGTACCTATGTATGTACGTGGACTACGTGCATCCCTCAGACTGGTTGTATGGCCGTTAACGCCTACCGTCACCAGGGGGCGTGAGTGCGGAGGGTGCTGCGGCGATACGTCACGGCTGGATGTGTAGTGATTGCCGTGGCGTGCCTCTGTGCGTGCTCGGCTCGTATCGACTTGGTGTTGACGAAGCACAGTCTACGTGTGTGTCGAACAGACGGGTGTGGAGTAAACAAACACATTAAGTTGTGATTTCCGGATGCGTGCGTCACCATCAGATTTGAATCTGCGCGTGATGTCGCGATAGTTGTGTCGCATTGCATGGCACGACCGTCGCATTGCATGGCACGACCGTCGCATTGCATGGCACGACCGTCGCATTGCATGGCACGACCGTCGCATTGCATGGCACGACCATCACATTGCATGACACGACTGTCGCATTGCATGGCACGACCGTCGCATTGCATGGCATGACCATCACATTGCATGACACGACTGTCGCATTGCATGGCACGACCAGCTGTAGAATCGGTAGCAGCACGTTGCATGACCTAGCATGATGTATAATCAGTCGGAGTGTGTCATGCCATGGCATGCTGTCACCTCCGTGGTGTCGTGTTACATGCCATGACACGCTGTGGTGGAAGCAGTACGCTACAGCATACTGTGGTGTCATATCACACGAAGCAGTATGCTCTAGCATCTGTGTTGTCATTTCACACGCTATGGCATGCTGTCGCATCGGTGGCGACGTATCATGCACTGCACCATGCTGTATCAAACTTACGTTAATGCTCATTTCATGGTTTATTGAAGCCACACTAATTTGCATATTTGTTAGTGACGCTGTTTGCACATGGGTGTTGATTTTCCGTGGTCGCAGTTTCGCAGCAAACGCTAGAAACCGCTCGGTCGATGCTGTGTGTTGCGCGAGTCACGGAACCATGGTGATACGCACACCACGAGAGACTCTGTCATCGACCGAGCAAATAGCGTTAGGTGCGAAACGAAACCGCGCAGTTTCCTATGAGTTTCTAGCGTCTCCAGTCGCGTAGCGTGTGCACCAGACCTAACCTCGCTCGTTTTTTTCTGTTTCTGCATGCTTATTGCGTCCGACCAGCAGGGGGAGCCATGTATGCGGCGGTGCCGACGAGCGATCCGGCGCCCGCGTCGGTGGCGCCCCCGAGGGACATCGTTCAGGAGGTGCGCCGGTCTAAGTTTCTGCAGAGACTGGAGACGTTTCCTGCGACAAGTACTAACCCTACTAACTTTGGCTGTGGTGTGATTGTGTGCAATTTATGTGATTGCGTGGCCTTGCAAAACTCGAGCGCACGGGTTTCGATTTCCCCGTCCTCTACTCTGTTGGTAATTACTGTCATCCTGGCCAAGCGCGCGTGTAACGGCATGCAGCAAATATTTTGCGCTGTGATGGATTAGAAACTTAGCCAGACTTTCCAGACGATTGGTTTAAATTCGATAGTTGATGTACGAATGGCAAACATTTAGGGGGAATTTTAGAATTTACAGATTATTTGAGATGCAGCCGCCCTCACTTGTAGCATTCGTCATATCCAACCAGCTTCCCTGATAGACTGGGTTAGCAACAGCAAGGCTTGAACCAGTGCGGAAGTTTTGTGAAGCCACGGGAGAAGGTAGGCTTCATTGCCAGTGCTTCATTAACCAGTGCAGCATGGTGGGAGCCAGCGCATCACTGATGTCATCATCGTAACCGTTTCACTTGTGTGCGCAGCAAGTTTTTCTGCGTTGCGCCTTCCTCGTTGCGGCCTAAGTCCCACAGTTGCTATGAAACCTGTTTTTAAATGCTATAATTTGGCAGAAGTCATGTCATACTGTATGGTATAGTACATGAGAAGCTTGAATTTCTGGAAAATGTGTTTTTAGGCAGTTGTCACAGCGCATAAACGGGCGTGTACACGGGATTTGTAGCTCCAGGGCGGGGGTCTAACCCCTAAGCCGCTAAAATTTGGCAAGGCACGCGCAAGGGGGACGCGTGGGAAAAATTTGAAAATTAGCCTCCTTGAAGAGCGTTTTCTGGCGCGACGCAGGGGGGGGCGTCCCCGAAAACCCCTGCCCCGCCAGCTGTCACGCCCGATAAAGAGATGTAAGTTAATTGGTAAAATCCACCATGTGTGGTGTTACGGATTAACTAAGGCTGTATATCATGCGCGGAAACTTAATGGATAACTATGGCAGGTGCATGCCATATAACAAAAACAAATTATTAAAATTAATTACATTAAATTAAATTCTTCAAATTAGCGTTGTAGTTGGTAGGCCTGTGTCGCGCCGTATTCCGGCTGGTGTCCATCCGTGTGTGTAGAGTCATCAGTGAATTGAGGCCATAAACAAAATATGGTGTGGTTACCGTTACATGCCGAAAGAAAATAGGTAGGTAGGTTAGGTGAAAACATTTTATTTTCTTGAAATATTTTATTTACGAACCTATGCCGAAGGATGTGCATTGTGCTTTTGGAAGGCAGGAAGCTGTCCAATTCATATTTTTTTATTTTTTTTAATTTTTTATTGTTATTTATTTTTTGTTTACGTTTAAAGAAAATTGACAATTAAAATGTTTAGGGTCGCTGGGAAATAAATAAGGGTCGGTCGGGAAACCGTAACCACACCTACATTTTGTTTTGGCCTAAGGTGAGTTGTATTACAGTGTGGTAAAGGGTTATAATAGCGTGCATCAACGCAATCTCGTGTGAAGATTCCACCGATGCTACGGCTGCCACCGCCTGCATTAGCGGATGGGTTAGCAGGCATCGAGCAGCGGACCGCGGCCTCTCCAGGCAGGCATTAGGCGCCGTGCATCCACATCAATAAGAGTGAAGCGAATTAAAGACGAGGCGAAGTGAGAAAAAAACCCAGCAGGATGCTGGGCGGTATCGCACGCACATTTAGCTATAGATTACCACGCAGGCTCCTTCGGTGGGTCTGTGTATTCCGCTTGAGGTAGAATCGTGCCGGCGCGCGCGGCGCGCATCCCCTCACCACCAGGCGGTGTGCATGATCGGCGACACGGTAACACATTCATCCTTCGTTCGCTTCGCAACGCGTCAGCCGGTACTGCAAACCGGCGGTCATGAAATTATCGACGCAGTTAGAGGTTTCTTAGCGGGTAAGCGAGTGGGACGTGTGATGGAGAGACGCTAAAAGTTCTGGAAATACATCAGGGCATGTGGACTGGCAGCCGGGAATTTTCACCGTCAAGGACGGCTCTCGTAGCTGTCTTACGGAGAAATTGACGCCCTCTGCTCGATACCCTAATGAGAGTGTGACGTGGGAGGAGTGAGTGGAGTGGCTGGGGGTGGTTGTGTGGATTCATGCAGTGATTCACAATGTCCTTGCACAACTGATAGTCTTGAAACCTGCAGCTGTGGAGCTGTTATGCACCTTGCTAATCATTTTATCCAGAAATCCTAAGGCCTTTACGGAAAGTCAATTTGGGCTGTCACTTCAGCGAGGAAGAGTAGCTGGTCAATAATTTCAAGCCGTGCAAGTCCCACTATATCTCCACCAATCTCTAAACATTCAGCATCTCTTGCTTAATGTCGGATGCAGACTCCCACAATCCTCGCAGCCATCTCGCAGCCATTCCCACACATCGCTCCGACATCCCGCAACCACATTCCTCGACCGCATCCCCGGATGCACATGCCTCCGCGCCAGCATCCCCACACATCTTCCAGTCATCCTGCCAGCATCCTCCAGCATCCGCCACCCATCCTCCCAGCATCCTCCAGCATCGCCCCAAGATCCTCACAGCATCCTCCAGCATCCTCTCCAGCACTCTACAGCATCCTCCCCACGCAGTGCCCACTACATCGCTCTAGCATCCGACCCACAATCCTCTTTCAGCATCCTCTGGCAGCATCCTCCAGCATCCCCACACATCCTCCAGCATCCCCACACATCCTCCAGCATCCTCCACGGGAAGAGCATCCCCACCATCCTCCAGCATCCCCTACACATCTCCAGCATCCCCGACACCATCATCCACAGCATCCCGCCACACATCTGCCAGCATCCTGACCGCATGCCCGCACACATCATCCAGCATCCCCGACACATCCTCCAGCCTCCCCACACCTCCTCCAGCATCCCTCCGCTCCGCTCCGCCAGCATCCCGAGGAACACATGTCCTCCACATCCCCACACATCCTCCAGCATCCCACACATTCCTCACACATCCTCACAGCATGCCCCACGACCCATGCCTCCAGCCATCCCCACACATTCCTCCAGCCATCCTCCAGCTCCCCACACAGCTCCAGCATCCCACAGGACTGCTCCAGCATCCTCCAGCATCCTCCAGCATCCCCACACATCCTCCAGCATCCTCCAGCATCCTCCAGCATCCCCACACATCCTCGCAGCTCCCCACAGCATCCTCCAGCAATGCCTGCCAGCCATCGCTCCAAGCCTCACTCCAGCATCCCCACACATGCTCGCAGCATCCTCACACATCCTCCAGGCTATCCGCCACACACCTCCAGCATCCTCACAGCCATCCCCCAGCATCGCCCACACATCCTCCGCAGCATCCCCACACATCCTCCAGGCATCCTCCAGGCATCCCAACACATCTCGGCAGCATGCGCCCACACAGGCCGTCCTGAGCCAGCCAATCCTCCCAGTATGCGGACCCACACATCAGCCTCCAGCATCCGTCTCAGCATCCCCAACAGCATCTCCCCAGCATCCCCAACACAGAAGCCTTCGGACCTCCTCGCAGCGATCCACAGCATACCCCACACATCGCCTCGTCAGCATCCCCACAGCATCCTCCAGCATTCCCAGCACATCCCTCCAGCATCCGCCACACATCCCCTCCCAGCATGCCCCTCACATCCTCTAGCATCCCCACTACATCCTCCCAGCATCCTCCAGATCCTCCAGATCCCCACACACTCCTCACCAGCATCCCCACACAATCCTCCAGCATCCTCAGCATCCTCCAGCATCCCCACACAGTCCCCTCCAGCATCCTCACACATCCTCCAGGCATCCTCCCAGCATCCCCACACATCCCTCCTAGCAATCCCCACACATCCTCCCAGCCTCCGCACACCATCCTCCAGCATCACACCACACATACCTCAGCATGATCGCAGTCATCCCCCCAGCAGTTGCCTCACAATACAGCGATCCCGCACACATCCTCCCCGACCACCTCCCCACGCACATCCTCGACAGCAAATCCCACAACATCTCCCAGCATCCTCCAGCTCCTACACATCCTCGCCGCAGCATCCCCACACATCCTCCAGCATCCTCCAGCATCCCCACACATCCTCCAGCATCCCCACACATCCTCCAGCATCCCCACACATCCTCCAGCATCCCCACACATCCTCCAGCATCCTCCAGCATCCTCCAGCATCCCCACACATCCTCCAGCATCCCCACACATCCTCCAGCATCCTCCAGCATCCCCACACATCCTCCAGCATCCTCCACGATCCTCGTTTCATGTTGCCTGCATCTTCAGGCGGTAGCTCACCAGCACTCGTCCTCCAAGGATCTTCCTGTATCCTGGCCATCCTCGTCTGCAAACCGCTCGTGGCTATTTCAAAACGTTTCGACGTAATTGAGTTTGTTTAGCGCTTGATATATTTGAGCAGCGTACGGCCACTAAGAGGCTCGCGTGTGCATGCGCACGCGAGGCAGCCGGTCATTCGTGAGCGCAGCTGCCTTCATATGTCTCGTCTCGCCTCGTGCGTGTCTCGACAGCGAACGCTTGAGGCATTCACGTGTGTCTTCTGCTTGCTTTCCTTACAGGAGTAATCGCAATGGAGAGCGAAGGCGACGCAGAGCCTGAGGTAAGCTTATCACCACTACGCGTAATTAGCACGGCCGCACACGGGAGCACACGCTGAGTACGCGAGCATGGCGTCGTGGTGGCGTGGCGTGCGCTGGCGTTGTGTGTGTGTGTGGTGTGTTGTGTGTGGGCGTGCGTGCGTGTGTGTGTGTGCGTGCGTGTGTGTGTGTATATTTATTTTAGGATGTAGAGGTCCCAAAGTTATGGGAAAATCAAAAAATTCTATAAAAGTTTGGTTTTGTATTGTAAGTATTTGCGTCTCTATGGCTTCAAAAAGCATGGTTTGGTTCACGTGCGCACGTTTACTTTCATATTTTGTATTCATTTATGTTGAAATAAGTGATAAAGCATTGGTTGTGTGTCTGAATAATCATGGCTCAGTGACGTTTTGGATTATATTATGTAACTGGGCTTGAGATTTCCTGTTGCTTGAGTTAGAAGCCAGGTGCTGTCCCTTAATGGCCTGTACTACTCGCACCAGCGCACGAGTCATAGCCCTAAAGGTAATGTCCCTCCTATAATCACTGACTCACTGAAGTCAGCTCACATCACGTCATTCACTTCACATCACCACCTCCATCGCACGTCCGCACCCTGCCATCCTTCCTCTCACTCACTGTCACTAACGCTCACTCTCTCACTGCACATCCCTCCCTCACTCATGCAGCTCACACATCACAACGCTCTCACTCCTCCCTCCCTTCCTCTCACTCACTCAGCTAACTCACGATGTCCCTCCCTCACTCACTCACTCACTCATTCACTCACTCTCTCCATTCACGTCGCAGCGCAACTCAGTCACTCACATGTCCTCAACTCACTCACTCACGTACTCACTCACTCACTCACATTACTCACTCACGTCACATCCTCCTCTTTCACTGAACCTCACTCCTCACTCACTCACTCACTCACTTTCTCCCTCTCACCAGTCCCCCTCACCCTCAGTCACTAAACTCAGCTCACTCACGTCACAACCCGCCTCTCATCACCATCCCTATCCTCATCACTAGGTAACGCACTCACAACACTCCCGCACTCAACTCACGTAACTCACGAGCCCCAGCCCACGGTGCGCCGGTCCTCACGTCAGTTCACGTCACTCAGCGTGCAGTCCCTGCACTTCACTCACTCACTCACTCAGCTCACTCACTCACTCACTTTTACTCACTGCACTCACTGCCTCCTCTATTTCACTGACTCATCTCTCACTCAACATCTACTCAGCTCACTTCTCCCTCTCACTGAGCACCCGCCCCCCCCACCCTCACCACTCATCTCACTCACCCCCTCTCACTCACTCCTGCCTCTCACGGTCACTCACGATCACTACCAGGGCCTCACTCACATGGCGCAGCCGCCAGGACGATGCACCGCCACCTACCTCTCACTCACATCCCTCCTTTCACTCAACTCACGACCACTACCGCACTTACTCACTCACGGCCACCCTCCTCCTGGCCACCCTCCCGCCCTCTCACTCACTACACACTCCCACCTCCACTCCGCACTCACTCACTCGGCGCTTTGGCAACGACTCACGCCCGCCTCCCCCGCTCTCACTTCACTCCGTCCCTCTCACTCACTCACACACTGACGCACTCACTCACCTCGCGCCACGGCCTCTTCACTACACTCCCCGTCCTTGCTCAGCTCACTCACACACTCCCAAAGGTCTCCCGCACTCTCAGCTCACTGTGACCCCCCCACCCACTCCCTCACTCACTCACTCACTCACTCACTCACCATGAAGCCCTGTTGTTAGCTGTTGCCATGGTCACTTGTTGCATCTGCAGAGGGAGCCACTGAAGTTCGATGTGTGCACGGATGGTATGCCGGAGGACATCGCACAGTGCGTCCTCGGCATCAAGGGTGTCGCAGAGAAGATGCTCTACCATTGGAAGACGTTCCCCATCCAGCTTCCGCCTCCCATCGCCGTGGTAACCGAGGAATCGACGCCGACAAGGAAGGTGGGTGCATGCACGAACATTCTTACCCTTCCCACCGAAATTTATTAATTTTATTAATTAATTAAATAATTTTATTAATTTTATTATTTTTTAATTAATTAATTAATTTTATGGGTAAATTAGATTTCGGTTTTATCATCATGTTATCTTGTGCCGGTGTTTATCCTCTGTGCGATCAATGCGTCGTTCGTTTACATATTACTGGGTTGAACTATCAGAGTGTACGACGCACAAACACTGCATTTGGCTGAAACCTCACAATCGCCAGAAACAAACCTTTTCAGTCCTCGGGGAAAAAATCTCCCGGATATCTCTCTCGGGGAAAAATCCAATAGGTTTCACGAACCCCTGCTCACCCGGCTTTTTGTCGTCTGTTTCGACAGAAGACGATCAACATGCGCGATCTGTTCATCGCTCCGTCGTTCGACGAACTCGAGCAGGTCGCGCTCAACACGAACGGTGAACTGCGTCACCTCAACGAGAAACAGCTGAGCTCCGTCCAGCAGATGGGGTAGGTGTGGAGAGTTAGGGTGAATGTGGATGGCCTAAAGGGTGGGGCTGTAATAAAAATATTCTTTGTTTGCCCTCACCCGATCGACCCGCCGAAAAGGGGCCGACTCTAAAAATTTTATTGATTTTTTTTTTGATCTTTTTTTAACATTGTATCACTGTACATTATGTAAATCTGTAGGCAATACATTATATGTACCAAGCAAAACAAACATTCAACATGAAAGGTATCTCTACACAAGCACACCTGAGCATGTAGACACCATGCTGAGTTTGTAAAATAAAAACCCTCAAAGAAAAGCCTACCTACCTACCCAAACCTTTCAGCCTGGGTCGGGTGACGGCAAACAAAGATTTTTTTATACTGGCCTGGGATGTTGGCAAAGGTATGGGGTGGGGTGTTGGGAGGGTTAAGGGGCAGAATGATGGTAGTTGGGGCAGGATGAGAGTGGGGCAAGCATTGGAGATGTGGGGACGAGAGGTTGGGTGACGGCTACTTATGGTGATGGATAGTAGTTGAGGCAGGGGTGTGTCGAGATGTGAGGCAAGGAGTGGAGTGAGGGTGAATGTGTGTGGGCTAAAGGCTGGAATGAGAGTAGGAGTAAGGTGTGCATTGTGAAGTGGATGGGACGGGTGAGGACCTTCCTTTAGAGGGATGGGTGATTGAGGTACTAGAGGTGGTTTGCAGAAGAAATGTGTGTGTGTGGAAGGTGGTTATCTGGCGGCATCCTGTTTTCGATAATAGTTCGTAAGTTTTTACTTTCTGCCCTTTCACAGAATACGCTACATCAGCTGAGAACAGACATCTGTGTAGAAAGTAAGACGTTGTATCTGATTAGCAATCGATCGTCATCTCGTATACCAAACTTGTTCTCAGATGTCTTCTTCTTTTGTTGTTGTGCAGGGAATTTGAGGTGGAAAGCACAAACTTTCCTTCACAAGTACATAGGTGGCGCCTTAGTCAACTGCTGCAGAAAGGGGTGATCCGTACGCAAGCAGCACTGCTCTGTGTGAGTATTAACATTTGTTATGTTCCCTGTAGCTACGATCTACCTACAAACCATGGCTTCTAGTTATTCTCATGTCCTCATGTTCTCATGTCCGTGGCAGTGCCGCATACATCACCTGGTGTTGTAGCTATGAGCTGTATGTGTCTTATGGTACCACCTGTTTACTACCATAAGCTCTGTACTCCAGGCAGTACCATCTGCTGCTGCAAGGTTTGGGCATCACATGCTGCCACTGGCTGCTGTGGCCACATGCAGTCTGTGTGCTGCTACATGCGTCTGTGTTTTGCAGGACTTGGCCTTGGCATTAAGGCTCGTCATAATCACAGCTAGGAACAGACTGCACTCCCACTTCTTCAGCCTCTGCCAGTCTCTTACAGCACTCGTCACTGGATGCCTCAAGCTGCTAGGTACGTCTCAGCATTCGTTGAGCCCTCGAGACACGATGGCCAGTATGGCGTTTGTAGCGAGGTCACCGGTCCATCGAATCCTTGCTGTTCGAGACTGTATCGCCTTTTAAACCTCACGTTTTTTGGGTAGTAGGGGGATTTATGGATTTACTTATTAGTCGTTTGTTGACAGTAAATTGTTGGACTGGAGAAGCGTAACAAAGCATGTGAAGCTAGTTATAATGCACCGAGACACGTTTGTTCCCAAGCATCAATCTGCTTTCTACAGTAATCCACACAGTAAACCTGATGTGTCCAGAGGTCTGGGACCCATCGTCAGAACCATGACTGGTTATGATATCATAAGTCTACAGTGTCATATAAGCATGTCATAAAATGAAGTGAAGTCACGACATTTTAGATTGATGATAGTGGTAACGGGTTTTGATGTTTATGACAACGAGCCATAGGTACAGTTGTAAGTACAGATGCATGATCAGGGCCATAGGTACAGTTGTAAGTACAGATGCATGATCAGGGCCGTAGGTACAGTTTAAGTGACACATGCAATGATCAGGGCCATAGGTAGTCAGGTTTGTAAGTAGCAGGAAGGCGGGGGGGGGGGGGGGGTGGGGGGGGGGGGGGGGGGCGGGCGGGCCGGGGGGGGGCGGGGGGGGGGGGCCATGATCAGGGCCATAGGACACAAGTTGTAAGGTACATGAATGCATGATCAGGGCCAATAGGTACAGTTTTGTAAGTACAGATCATGATCAGGGCGCCATAGGTACAGTTGTAAAGTACAGACTGCATGATCAGGGCCATAGGTACAGTTGTAAGTACAGATTGCCATGATCAGGACCATAGGTACAGTTGTAAGTACACATGGCATGATCAGGGCCACTAGGCTACAGTTGTCAAGTAACAGATTCATATCAGGGCCATAGGACAGTTGTAATTACAGAATGCATGATCGAGGGCCATAGGTACTAGTTGTAAGTACACGATCCATGATCAGGGCCCATAAGGTAGCAGTGTAAGTACAGATGCATGAATCAGGCCATAGGTACAGTTGTAAGTACAGGATGCATGAATCAGGCCATAGTGTACAGTTGTAAGGTACACATGCATGAATCAGGGCCCATAGGTTACAGTTTAAGTACAGATCATGATCAGGGCCACTAGCTACATTGTAAGTACACGATGCCATGACTCCAGGGCCAGGTATCAGTTGTAAGTAAGCAGATGCATGATCAGGGCCGTCAGGTTACACTGTTGTAAGTACAGATGCATCATCAGGGCCAATCAGTACAGTTGTAAGCTACATGATGCCATTGATCAGGGCCATAGGTACAGTCTTGTAAGTAACAGATGCATGATCGAGTTTGCCATAGCTACAGTTGTAAGTCAACAGATGCCATATCAACGCCAATAGTACAGTTGTAAAGTACAGTATGCATGATCAGGGCCAATAAGATACAGTTGATAAGTACAGAATGCAAATATCAGGGCCATAGATACAGTTGTAAGTAACAGCATGCATGATCCCAGGCCGTAAGTACCGTTGTAAGTACAGAATGCACGATTCAAGGGGCCATAGATACAGTGTCAAGGTACAGATGCATGATCAGGCCATAGATACAGTTGAAGTACACATCCATAACAGGGCCATAACCTAGAGGTTTTAACACCGTGTGGCCAGTCCTCTGTGCTGCAGGTTGAGTGTAGTCGAGTTAGTGGACCAATGACAGGAACAGATTGGGTCGCGCCGTGTTCACCCGAGCGTGCGACGTGAATCTCCTCTCTTCTTCAATTGTTGTACATCTAGCGTGCCTCGAACAAAGGCTGTCAACCCTGGGAGCCTGCAGCTGTGGAGAGAGCGAGAATGCAAGCACACTGTACGCATCGAACTCAAAGTCAGGGTAAGGTGTTATGGCTTGCTCGTACTCGAATCTACCATTCACTGCACCATCCTCGCACCACCCGGCATGCAGACTCAGTATCTCCAACACGCCCACCAAAAGATCAAGTTATCAATGGTTGCAGGCCAGATCCCTTGAAAAGTCCTTTGAATTTGAGGGGAGTCCTTGAAAAGTACCTTTAATTTACGTAAATGTTTTTTGTGCTTGAAAAGTCCTGAATTTCATGTAAATGTCCTTTTGATTTTTAGAAAGAATCGCTTTCCCTGTAATAAAAAGAAATTTTGTACGCATCAAATAATGGTGCAAACCTCAAATAAAAATGTGTAAGTGAAGCTTAAAAAAGTTAACGACACGATAGACAGTTATAATGAATGATCACACAGATTACAGTAAAGTCAGTAAAAAATCAGTCCAGTAAATCAAGGTAATTCATAGCAGGCGACAGTGCTAGCAAAAGGGTTTTATTAATGTATCCAAAGGTAATTTTTTTAAGAAGGTGAGAAGTGATTCAAGAATGGGTGTTATTAAATTAATTCAGGTATGTTTGTGTTTGCATGTGTATGAACTCCCGATAAAAATGCAATTTGGAAAGAAGTCCATTGAAAGCCCTCTTAAAAAATGTTTAAGTCGCTCCTGTATGAACCAGTAGTAGTAAGTAAGTAAACACTTTATTTAACGATCGGTAAACACATTTAGTACAGACACAATAAAATGGCACGGACCTTATCTCACTATACGGACCGGTCCTATCAGCAACAACAGAACCGTTAAAGATACTTACACAATAAGATAACACCTAATAAAGTGACGTACCTCGTAGACCAAAAATGTCACGCGGCGATAAAGTATAAAAGTCACTAATGCCCTATTGGCGGAGGTGAGGCACTGGATTTCTTTAGACGGACTTTAAAAGAGGAGATATGGTTGGAGGGCAATATCACTGCGAACGTCCAAAGGAGAAATGAGTAACCCAATAATGGTATCACCAGTGTGAGCGCATTGAGTCTGCCTGCTTTACATCTATCATTTAGGCATCATGTGTTCTCTGGTCAAATCTTAACCGTCTTCTGGGTAATGCGCACAGTGATACTTTGATGACTGTCAATTGCCATGAGACGGCACATGAGACACGCAGTTGCTGGTATGACATACTAGAGAGTGGTTACGTCACCATGCAGGACAGTGTCGCAGCCACCAGCATGAGAAATAACAGGACTGGTGAGTTAACTATCAAGGATTGACAGCACTGAGACACGTAAACTTAGAGCAATCACGAACACCCAAGGAAATAGCTAGAGAAGTGCATAGATCACGCTATTGTGAGACAAGGAGATCAACGGACTGGAAGGGCTTCCTACCCTCAAGAGAAGAGGCTGATACCGGGAAGCAGCAAATGATATAGAGTCTGGGCCGAGTCTGATGAGGTTCAAAAGGTAAGAGGATATTAACAAATAACGCAGACCGGGTGCTTGAACTTTTTGAAATGTTCATGCGGTGCACGTCTGCCAAGTTTCTTTGGACATCTACCTGAAAAAAGTAGTGTGCTCAATGCCGCGCCACAGCCCGTTCTCTATGGAACCCGAACTACGTTAGTAGTAGAGCTTAGGCAGAATTTCAGGAGTCACTTGAGCGACTCACTGGCATAATGTTTTAAAATTAAAGGAGTCCAGAGCAGTAAAAGTCTAGGGAGAGTTATTGGTTACTCTGGATCTCAGCGTTAACATCTTTGAAAGTCCTCTCTGCACACACGGTGTGATCACATAACCTACCATAGTGTTCTCCGCTCCACAGATATAACCGGCTGAGACTCATAAATAATCCTTTATTCGTACCCGAAGTGATTTAACCCATCTGAACCATTATATACAGATTATTATTACAATTATCTATATTGCTATTATAAACTATTTATAATATTATATAATTAGACTGTTATCTTTATTAAGCGACGGCAATTAATCGCCGAGCTTACACATCATTTAACCTAATTTAGTGAGTATCAAACGCATTCTCTTCAGCATGTCCTAGATTCTGTGTTGGTGCGGAATGTGCTGTGTTGTGAGTCGCTTCATACTTTACGGCCCAACAAATATGAAAGCCTTTATTAACATGCCCGAACCTATCTTGGAAAGTCGTTGTTCACAATCTAGCAAACAGTCCCTACCCCGCAGCACCTAAATTAACTGCGAATGTATTGTAAAAACATCCCGAGTAGTGATGCCACTTCTGCTGCTAGACGTCTGAGCAAGCGAACGGAGGGCCCTCAGTTTGTTGTTCTTGCTAGCATCCGCAATTCTGCTCCCGGCGACGCATTAACATCTACACGTTTGTTATGTGTTTGCGCCAGGACGACAATGACCACCTGCCGCGCCCGTGCCTAAACCTCTTCCGAGAGCCCCAAGGCATTGAGTTGGAACCTGAAGGCTCTTTAACAAAGGTAAGACTCACATAGCAGGGCGGCCGTGGCGCATTGGCGTGAGCAAAAATGACTTGACAGACAGTGGGGCAGCTGTGCATGGGCTAAAAACCATTATACGGTATCAGCCAAAAAGAGTAAAGTGGATCGCGCAAGTATATGGTTGCACACGTTGTACAACGTGTTGAAGGACTTCACCACACTACACAAATTGCACCTGGACGAAATAGTCTAGAGGTGCGTGCACGTGCGTTTTGAAACCGGAAAATTGCCAGTCTAGCAGCCACGTGCGTGACCTGAGTAAAAGTGGCGAGCGCGGTGATGGGTCTCGTGTGCATAGACATAGCGCCTACCAGGTCCAGTTCCTATCGCGAAAGTGACAATGCTGGAAAGTGTCTCCCCACCCCCATCGGAGAGAAAGAGGTAAAATGTTTTAATATTATGTGTTTAGAAATAGCCCAACCAACGAGGATGTTAATGACTTCAAACTCCTCATGCTGCTTTCCAAATTCCCATCGGACTCCGACTGACTGCGGAGCTGGCTTGGCGTGTGCCGTATGAAAGCCAATCTCAGTTTCTCAGCAGGCTGCGGAACTATGTCCGTCTGTTCCGCAACACCTGCTCACGTGCTGCCTTCTGTTGTACAGATTGAGAACGCCGGAGGCGTTAGCCCGCACTGCTTACTGGGGTGCGTGCGGAGTGCTCTGGACAGGAGACGAAGGCTGGTTCGTCGCACATTGTTCGTGAGAAGTGCATCTCATAAGCAAGGCCAAGGGGCATGGCATCGAACCCCGACCGAGGAGATTGAAAATGTAAATCAGCGGTAGAAAATTAAACTTGCTGAAAGAAGGGAGTCCAACTGACTCCCTGCCGCATGCAAAAAGAGGGAGCTCGCGCAGTCATAAAAAATGAGTCCTGCAGTCTGACAGTATCAAACTAAAGATATTAAAAGTCACGCATGTGCTTATTTTTGAAGCCAGTTTTTCATGCAGGTCTGCACGTCTGCCTAAAGTTTTCTTTGGACCTTTCTGAAAAAAATACGGTACACCCTCCGCGAGCCCGTGCTCATGCGAATGAACTAGTTAGTATTCACAGGCAGAATTTCAGGGCCCTCCAGTCATGGACTATCCTGCATATTGGTTATGAGAATCAATGGATGCAGACAGTATAAGTCGAGCGGTATGTCGTTCTTGACCGGTCCGTTGGGGACGCTCGCGTTTATTTTGCACCTTGTGAGATGTGATGCCATCTCGACGGGGTCTTACCTCTCTCGTCGTTAACCCAATGCCTGCCCACTGTGTGACCCTGCCCACTCCCGTCATCGCGGGGGATCAGCAAATTGCGTTAGCTTTAATAGTTAAATATAATACTTGGTTTGGCCAGCCGAAGATTGTGGCTGTGGCCAAAAGCACCATGGCTGTGGTGGTGGACGTTGGTTCCTCCTGCTAACCACCTATTTGCATTACAACCTGTACCCATTGTGTGATGTATTTATTATTTGCATTACAACCTGTGATGTATTCGCCGTTATTAAAGAGCAGTAGTTATCGAGTGTAACAAACGCGTGTCCTAATCGCTGACGAAATAATCCCGGACGTGAACGTATTGGGTCAGCTGCTCATTGCGTTGCCATGGTTACTAGTAGTCTCTCACATCTTTACAGGAGGTTAATGTGCTGGTGGTGGATGAGTACATTAGGAGAGTTTACAATGCGATCCTCAACAGCACAGCAATCCAGGCCATCGGCCCTGTAGTAGGTGAGATTCACAACTAGTGCAGTAGTAAGGTGCCAGTTCCCATCCGTGCAGTGCCGATTTCACGATACCAGTTTCCACACAAGTTGTGTGCAGCTGTTGGCAGAGGTGACAAATTCGGTAATGCCCGCGTACATGTAAAGTGAGGTGGCTGTTAAATTAGCTGGTCATAACCGTACCGACTTCATTTTCCAATAGTGCAGTCACATAAGCGAGCGAGCGAGCAATCAAGCAAGTGAGTGAGAGAGTGAGTGAGTGAGTGAGTGAGGTAATGAATGAGCGAGTGAGTGAGTAAGTCAGTAAATAAGTAAGTGCAGTGACTGAAAATACCTTGGTCTAATCGCGATGACTGTGATACATCGTCGTAATCGTCGTGGCGACTCTGTTTGCAGCGATGCTATTGGTCGAGCAGGCGCAGTCTGTGGTGCTGATGCATCGTGCGCTGGACAAGGTGAAGGAGAAGTGGGAGCGCACGCAGGAGGAGCTGAAGGATTGCCTGAAGGCCAAGTATCCCGTGAAGTCACGCATCGGACCGTGGATGAGAGACCAGATGCACACTTAGGTACAGTTGTAAGTACAGATGCATGATCAGGGCCATACCTAGAGGTTTTTAACCACCGTGCCAGGTCCTCTGTGCTGCAGGTCGAGTGTAGTGTAGTGACCCGATAAGAGGAACAGTTTGGTTAGCCGTGGTCACCATGGCGATGTGCTCTCTCTTTCAGATGTTGTCATCGGTGTGCCTTCGAACAAGGCTGTCAACCTGGAGCTGCAGCTGTGGGAAGAGCGATGCAAGCACCTGGTCGCCGAACTCAAAGTCAGGGTAGGTGTCGTCTGCCTCCTCGAATCCTTCCACTCACTCCTCACCACCTCGCCGAACCTCACACTCCCGCCTAGTAGTAAGTAAGTAAAAACTTTATTTGATGACGGTAAAACATGTTAGGTACAGACACAATAAAATGGCGCTGACCTATCTTCCACATGGCCGTCTCACAGCAATAGAACAGTTAAATATTAAATAAATACACAATAAGAGTTGAAGTACTTAGACTAAAATTGTACAGGGTAAGTAGAGCACAATGGGCCCTATTGATAGGGCAAGATTCTCTTTAGACGGACTTTAAAAGAGGAAATGGTGGAGGCATCTCGAACGTGAGGAGAAGACGTACACCTGTGTACCTACCGCTGCTGACTATATGGCATCAGTGTCTTGGTATCTTAGCGTCTCTGTGTAATTCCACGGTGTCTGGTTGCGTTGCAGAGAGGGCATGAGACAGCGTTGGAGACATACTGTGTCTACGTTAAGCAGAAGTGTCGGCAGCACAGCATGGAGAAATACAGGCTGGTGAGTTAACCTACAAGGATGACAGCATTGATCCTACCTGAGAAGTCACCCTAACCCTAACCTACAAGGATGACAGCATTGATCCTACCTGAGAAGTCACCCACGCAGGGGTAGAAATGAACTTTTGAACACAGGAGTCCAACGGACTCCTCAAAAAGAGGGAGTCCGAAGCAAAATGAGGGAGTTTGCAGTCTGAGGTTCAAAATTAAAGATATTAACAATAACGCATACGTGTGCTTATTTTTAAGATTCATGCGGTTGCACGTCTGCCAAATTTTCTTTGGACATTAGCTGAAAAAATAGTGTAATTCCGCCAAGGCCGTGCTCTGGAACGAACTAGTTAGTATAGCAGAATTTTCAGGGAGTCACACGGACTCCTGCATATGTCAAATTAGGGAGTCCGACAGTAAATCAGGGAGTATTTTACTCTGGACTCGCGTTAATTTTGCACCCTGCACACGTGTGTCACAAACCTACATAGTTTCTCCCTCCCTGATCGTACCGAAGTGATTTACCCATCTGACATTATATACAGATTATTATATATTATTATATTGCTATTATTATATATTATATTAGTGCATCACGTGATAAATCGTTGAAATTCCATTGGATAACGCAGCAGGCACTATGAAGCAATAGTGCCCGCCTGAGCGGACACTATTGCTTGCGTGTTGCATTGTTATTATATCGCATTGTGTTCACGTCACGAATCTCCTGCGTCTGGGCGCCACGCAAGTTTCGAACGGCGGTTGTGTTTGTGTCGAACGTGTTGTTACATCGAATGCACCGGCAAATTAGGGAGTATAAAGAAGGTATATAAGCATGAAAAGTAGATTGCATAGTCATGTGATGCACTAAAAACATTAATGCCTGTTGTTGGGGGCACTATGCTCTCATAGTGTTGCTTTGGGAAGCTTCCCTCAGCAACACT